AAGGGGAAGAGGGAAGGGGAAGAGGGAAGGGGAAGAGGGAAGGGGAAGAGGGAAGGGGAAGAGGGAAGGGGAAGAGGGAAGGGGAAGAGGGAAGGGGAAGAGGGAAGGGGAAGAGGGAAGGGGAAGAGGGAAGGGGAAGAGGGAAGGGGAAGGGGAAGGGGAAGAGGGAAGGGGAAGAGGGAAGGGGAAGAGGGAAGGGGAAGAGGGAAGGGGAAGAGGGAAGGGGAAGAGGGAAGGGGAAGAGGGAAGGGGAAGAGGGAAGGGGAAGGGGAAGGGGAAGAGGGAAGGGGAAGAGGGAAGGGGAAGGGGAAGGAGAAGAGGGAAGGGGAAGAGGGAACAGGAAGAGGAAGAGGGAAGGGGAAGAGGAGGAGGGAAGGGGAAGAGGAAGGGTATATTCTTATTAGCCCCTGTCTCCACAAAGAGTATTGGGTGACACTAGAACTTCGTAAGAGATTTCGCTTGTGACGTAAAAGATTATTGGCTACTTGTGGTATTGGTCTCTAATATGGGGTTCCGTTAGCGCGCTTTGCCAGCAAGAACTCCATAGCGACGTTTTCCTTGGTTTTGTTTGTAATCTACCTTGCAAACTCGATAATGACAATTCTGTTGTACTAAGGATTTTATACTGCGGTAAAGCGTATCGGTTAAATTTTGGCATCAACTGAATTGATGTGTCATTCTACTAAGGTAGTTTTAGAAGAGGAAATCTAACATATACTTCGTTCTTTTCAGGAAAGCGTGGAAAATCGGGACCAGTTTCCACGATCTATAACGCGGGGGCCTGGTGAGGGCTTCTGGTGGGCATTTGTCACCATGACAACAGTTGGGTAGGTATTGATTTTCTTATTTATTTATTAGTTTCTCCAAAATCTAAATTACTAAATAAAAGATTAATTAAATAATAATAATAAATAATAAGTAAACAATAATAATAATGATGGAGAGGCAGCATCCAAAAGCGTCCTAGACACCATACGAGGGATGCTCCCCAGTAAGCTAACAAAATATATCTTTACTATCAAGAAACAATCGTCAGAGTATAAAAATCTAATATAAAAATATTAACTTGAATTAAATCTAAAATTCTAAGTGTTACCAAGAAATGAAGTGACTTTATATCTAAGGCTAGAAATACTGACAGAATCCTTTATATTATTAGGTAGACTATTTCATTCATTAATAATACCGATAAAAAAGCTATATTTAAAAATATTTGTTCTACTATACATACTGACCAGGTCAAGAGAATCATTCTCCCTTAAATTATAATCCACACTACGATCGTTGCAGAACAAAAACTTATCAGAAATATCCATATCATAATGCCCTTTCATTAAATTGAATAAAAAAACATCCCTGATGTATCTTCTATGAAATAAACTTTGTAATTTTAATTTCTTTGATCTAATAACATAATCCTCATCGGATTTAAGAGTAAACTTAGTTATCCTCCTCTGTATTGCCTCTATTTTATTAATATTACGATGTGCGTGAGGATTCCAGGTCTCACATGAATACTCGAGCAGTGATCTGACAAGACTACAGTATAATGTTCTCGATGTAGTAATATCTTTTAAATCGCTACATGTTCTTTTCACCAAACTAAGAATCTTATTAGCCTTAGCACATACAGAATCTACATGTGCGTTCCATGATAAATAAGAGCTGGTAAGAAGGCCTAAATCCTTAATGTATATGTATACTTTCCAAACTCTGATCGTTTATTTCATAGTCCCTAACTAAAGGACTCTTTTTCATAGCAATTCTCATCATCTTACTTTTCTTTGTGTTTATTTTCATTTTATTATCCTTACACCACTCAGCAAGTCACTCTGAAAAAACGTCATGTCATCTGAAGAATTAATAGTCCTATATAGTTTACTATCATCTGTATATAAAGCGTTGAACTATCTTTACTATTTTTGGCTGATTGTGTAATTTTTGTAAGCTTTTGCTCTCTTGTGTAAATGTTTCAATCAGGTTTGCTTGTGTACATTTATTTCGGGAAACGCTGGTTGCTTACTAAAGAATGCGAAATAATTTCCAACCTATTGCAAACGCCGCACACTCGTTTTCTGGCTAATATTTGACAACTAAAACAGCAATCAGACTTGCGAATTTGTGGTAGTTCGTGATAATTTGAAATATTCTTTCCACAGCTATGGTGATAGATACGCTGTCTCCCCTGTAGCTAGAATATTCACCGTTCTATGGATGTTAATTGGCTTGGCTACTCAGAGTCTGTTCGTTGCCACGGTAACAATGTCGTTAGTTTCCAAGTCCCTAGACGCTGACTATAAACTCTACGGAAACAAGGTAGCGGAGCTTTTGAAATAAGAATATTTTTTCTCCACGAAAGAGGCAGGCAATTTCCCTAATACATGCAAAGATATCAGCGTTTAATTTGCAGCAACATTATCTTGAGTGTCGGAAGTAATCCAGGTTTGCGTTGGTTTTTCGTTCTTTAGTCGGCGATTTGGGGAGGAAACCAGCGACAATAGTTCAACCAATCAAATGGAGAAATAAAATCAACCATGATTATTTGCGTTTTGATTTCTGAGTGGCACCTGTGATATTTGTTTCGTTTTGATTCGCCATTGAGATAACTTTGTAACTGCTATGACGGCAGCCAAGGAAAGTGCGCTCTACTAAGTTATATCATGTTGGAGTTACTCTGTGAATCCTTGTAATTTAACAGGTAGGGTTGTTTATTTCTAAAGCTACTAATCAGGAATTATTGATTCTCTCTTAAGGTTGCTGCAATTCAAGACTCCTTTGAATATCGTTTTGGTTTAAGACGGAACGCTCTGGTTAATCCAGGTAAGTTAAACAACTCCAACCAAACAAGAGGCAAACATGAAGACTAAATGCCTCGATTAATTCGCGCGCTGCACATCCGATCGAAAGGTCTGGGTTTGAGTGTCGGCCATGGATATCATGTCATGTTCTTGGGGTATGACACTTCACTCTCTCAGAGCCCCTTCCAATCAGGATCGAACCCAGGCCTTTTAAGGGGGTACCAGGAATCATTTAGGGGGGTAGCAATGCTCTTAGTCGCTTTACTATCGCAGGGCCATGTAGCTAAATGGGCCACCCTGGCTAAATAAAGTTGACTTTTCTGGCTATACCTTTAGTGACCCTTTCCATCCAGGATCCAATCCAGAAGTATGAAGGGATAACATGACGATAAATTGTCAAGGAGACCTGATGAAAAGTCGTGGGGGAAACCCGGGATAAAAAATGTCTCATTGAGAGGGTGGATCCTCTCAGTCTGTTTTGGTCACATACATTGTAATAACCAGCTTCCCTCTCTTTGTCATGTAGATAACCAGTACACAACTTATGAAGAGATTGCCAATGCGTTGTTAGACGGCGAAGTGACAGGAGCCCTGATCGATGCATTCGTTCTTGGTAACAGGAAGGATTTGTTTGAAAATCCCTCTCTTCGAATCATCAAGGTCTTTGACTATTCCTCAGCTTACGGACTGGTGCTTAGCGGTGAAGCTAAAAAGCTGAGAACGTGCTTTGGAAAATTTGCACAAAGCCACAAGAAAGAAATTTTTCAAATCATAGAGAGTCATGTTGAGTCTGTAGAGGTTAGAACAATTTATTACTCACTTGAGATATGTGAAGAATTTGGTTGTCACAAAAAAATTTACCCGATCCCCCATAAGGCTCTGTAATGTTCTCGTGACCCGCCCTCCCCTCCCCCCTTAATTGGTAGTTATTTGGCAGTCAATTTTCTATATAGTCCCCACTCCACTTTTTACACTGTTAGCGACGACTGATCCCCCTCCGTTCCCCCTGAAAACCATGTTACCTCCTCAAAAGTCCCTCTCCCCCCCATCAGGTGACAACTAATCACTGGCCCCTACAGATTAAGTATTCAACAATAGCGTAGTGGATGCGAGATTCCCACGGAATATTTCTTATATTTTACTTTGTTTTTAGTACCATTGATAATTTTTATTAAAATGTATCAATGGTTTCCTCCAGGAATCCTCGATACCACTTGCAGTGGAAAGAACTACAGGGTTGTTTGATATCGAGAGTTCAATGTTCCAAGCAACTCTTATTTCATCGTCCGTTTTGTTGCTGGTGTTTCTCGTAGAAGGACTTGTGTGGGAGTTGGCGAAGAGGTTAAAAATTAGACGAACAGTGGCAACCGATAGTGAGTAAAACGAAAAAAAAAACAGTTCCTCATTCTGATTCAGTATTTTTGATGGTTGGACTGAAATTGCTTTGGCTGTGTTGAGATGCACTCTCTGTCTGGTTAAAAAGGATCACACCAAATATTAATTCGACCAATCAAACACAATTGTGGAGCCAATCATAACTTGTTGACGTGATTTCTTTCCTAGTGCACATGGCGATAGTCAAGTGTTTGTTGTGGTGATTGGGTCAAACAAAACGCGTACGACAAACAGTACTATGGCCAATCATAAGGAAGCTGATAAACTAACTTTACACCCTAACATCAGCATACAAATTCTTCATACTGTTCTTTATACATTTCTTAAAGTGCTGACAAGGACAATTTGAAAGGACAGTTTAGATGCTGGACACTCTTAGGGGCCAAAGAGTTAAAGCTATTATGAAAAAGAAAGATATTATGGCTAAAGAGTTAAAGCTATTAGGGAAAATTAATTCCGCTCGCCATTGATCGCAATATTTTTGTTTTACCCATTTAGGAGATCGTTTGAAGCTGTTAATGCAGAATACAAAGAGCGAAATGAATGGCACTGTGGAAGGTTTTACGACGGAAATAAAAGCTGTAGTAGAAGAACTGAAATCTAAACATTCGGAACAGAAAAGAAATCTTATAAAGACACTTAAGTCAAAGCAACAGAAGGGCATATCTTATAAACTTAACGCACACTTTGCGGGAGAATCTAAGAGCTAACCGATGTCTAGCTGTCTGGGTCTTGTCTAGCTCGCTCAGCTATGTTTGCTGAGAAATAGTTCGCTTCATTCTTTTTGTAACCACTCACCAAGTGTGGAACTTCAGAACTCAATCAATAAATGAATGAGTAAATAAGCTGATGGATAAAACAGAGGTAAACATGCAATATTACCAAAATCTACTTTCGTAATTTTCCACTTCCCTCCCCGCCTCTTATCTCCAAATAACTCGCTTACTCTCTGGCGTATATTGAAACATATCCCCTGGGACCTTGTGATTTTACCTAGTGATTTAAATGACAGTGTGACTAAATTCCAGGACCTGCTATTATGTTCTATAGACAGGCATGTTCCTTGAATAACACTTAGAGGTCGTTCAAGGCCACCTTGGATAACTGCTGAAATTACAAAAAGTTCATCAGAAAACAAAAACGCTGTGGAACAGAATGAAGTCTGCTCTTTCTACAGATCTTTTCATGCGCTTTAAGCAACTGAGGAAACAAACCAAGAAATGTATTGCCACAAGTTATCATCAGTATCTCTAATCATTATCAGAGAAATTGAAAGTAGATCCTAAGAGGTTTTGGTCCTTCCATGCCATTAAATCAAAAACAAAGAGGCAGCCTGCAGTTGTCACCTATAAAGATAGATCCGCATCGGAATCTGTCGACAAGGCTGCGCTGTTCAATGAAGTTTTTAGTACTGTGTATAGCTCAGATAGCGTAAACTGTGACGATCTCCAAGTAGATGAATTCCACCACTCAGAGTGAGGTTGAGGACATTTTAGTTAATCTGGATGCTAACAAGGCAACTGGTGTCTTTTTCGAATCGTTCGCCTTTGTAGATGTACAGCTTTTTTTTTGACTGTCTCGATCTTTACGTTGTCTTGATTGCTTTCAGCTTGCGTCACGCGCGCTGATTCTGTCGTACTACAGTTCTTAGTGTT